CCGCTTCATTTGACCATGCGTGGAACGATCTGCACCTTTCAGTGCGTCAAAGAAAGGGTTAAGCGCGTTCTCGTTTCTGATTGGTCCCAGCAGAGCCCGCCCTTCCCCATCGCGGAAGTGAAACTTGTGAAAGTTCACGCTGCTGGGAAAAGAACCCAAGGGTTAAGTGGTCCAGCTGACGAAGCCAAGACTCACAGAACAACCGCGATGTCATTGTCATTTGAAGGAAGAGTTGTGCTCGTCACGGGTGCAGGAGGAGGTAAAATTACCGTGGGAACATTAAAGTACTGCATAATAGCTCGACTGTCAGCGATGCTAAATCTGTATGCCCAGTTCTATTTACCGTGGATAGCTTCGGAATGTTAACCAGCTGATCGGGATGATTACGATGTTAAAGTGCACGATTCTGTAAGCATGTCTTTTGTCTTGTCTAAGCTCTTTGTTGTTTTATGTTGCTGCAACCTTTCGTGTGCTAACGAGTAAACAGCCTCTTATAGCTAAAACAACACTGCTCTAGCGATTTTACGAAACTATTTCGGGAAATCCAGCGAAAGACATTTGCTTCCAGTCTGCCACGGGGATCAAAGTACAGTCGATCCGAGTGGGTGAAAGGGCACATGCAGTAACAGGAATACAGACGGTGTTGATAGAGTTAAAACAAACAAACAAACAAACCCCTAATTTTTCCTGTGTGCAGGTCTTGGGAAGGAATATGCACTGGCATTTGCTGCAAGAGGAGCCTCTGTTGTAGGTAAATACATATAAATAGCATCTGTTGTCATCCCCTTTAATGCAAAATGTTTCAGGTGACTTGTGTGACATTGGAAGAGCAATGTGTATTCTGTACAAAGGAGTATTGGGGCCACATCATTATTAGAATCACAGCATAGGCAATTTTACAAGGAGGCAACGGGTGGCAGCTGCCGCCTCCACCAAATGCCTTGCCATCCCTAATGTTGACAATGAATCTCCCAATACTAAATTCAAAATTGTTTTCTAAATGTTCCTGCTATTGTCTACATACTGTGTATAAACGTTTTAACCACCCGTTTAGAATTCATTCCCTCCCCAAGGAGAAAATGGTTGTATCCTAAAGCACCACCGATGAGGGGAAAAAAGCTGGAAGATTCGTGGTTGCTCTGTTATTGTTGTCAAGTACAACAACTTATGTGAAGTAGTGCTGGGCGAGAGTGCACTTCTCACCATAGCTAACAACTGCCTCACTATATTATGAGGAACAAAACATAATGTTACAAGAAAATGCTCAATGTTACCAGAATCTGGTTATAATATAACAGGAACACTCTTTAGAACTAAGAATATTTCCTGGCGATGCTTAACTAGGTACACAGCGTGTACTATTCATTGTGGAGTGGTGTGTGTGTGTGTGTGTGTGTGTGTGTGTGTGTGTGTGTGTGTGTGTAGAGGCAATTTTGTGTCTTGATATTCCAATGAAGTTTCAATAAAATGAGAAAAAGTTGTCATTCTGTGAGAATAGAGCCTAAATGTTACAAAGAGAAAGTGAGGCAATTTTGTGTCTGATATTCCAATAAAGTTTAAATAAAATGAGAAAAAGTTGTCATCATGTGAGAATAGAGCCTAAATGTTACAAAGAGAAAGTCATTTATGAAAATATATTTGTAATATTGTAGGGAAAAAGGGAAAAGTAGAATTCAACCTGTCAATTATTCCTTCGATTAACTGTGTAAAATCTTATCTTGCATTAAAGTGTATTACAAAACATTTTTCCCCTCGAATACTGTTTATGAATCAATAGTGAAAAATAAAGAATCGGGGATAAGCTGAAATGCTGAAGAATTAAGTCGCACAATTCTTGTCTTACAGGTTTATTATCGTTCCATTTTTTGGTAGTCCCCGGGGTCAGAATTAACCCTTCACATTTTAGATTGCCTCTGATGAACCCCAAGTAAAGGTTGGCTGTTCTACCAGGCTTTGGTTGACGCCTTTTTTTTTTTAATATTATAAAAACCGGTATTAAACCAGGGGTGTGTAGACTTTTTATTTCCACTTTACAATGCATTGAGAAAAAAAACAAAAACAAAAAAAAACACAGCTCAGTTATATTCTTTTTCCGAATGTGTCATCAGCCTGGTGTCTTTTCAAGTATTAAACTATATAACGTAACTTAGCGTGACTTCCTGCTGAGTGTGAAGTCACATCCGTTCGCACGGTTCATGGCTAAGCTCCACTTGTGATCCAATGGCGCAACCTCGGCTTTAAGAGGATCAGTGGTGTCACATTCTGATGCGCTGTATTGATTGACATCGTGATTTAGGCGCAGGCCTCGGCCATAAACATCTGCAATAATAGCCGCTATCTACGAAGAACTCGCCCTTGAACTGTGTGACGAGGCTTAGCGAAACGTTCCTAATCACCGGTGGAAAACTGCACTCATTGCCCATTTGTTGCTAATCTTTTCCTCCTCTCGCTACGTTCAAGTGAATGACCTTGGGGTAGACACCAAAGGGGGTGGAAAGAGTTCTGCGGCTGCCGATAAGGTTGTGGACGAGATAAAAGCCAAGGGAGGAAAGGCAGTGGCCAACTACGGTGAGAAGTTTTTGGATCGGCTTCCATCTTGTCCTCTGGCCTTTTGTTACAAACCACTATCTCTCTTTATGTTTGAGCTCATGGTGCTGATTTTATTTTGAGCAGAGAAATCAATTGGAATTGGATGAATCCATTCCACGATCAAATTGTCTCTTGGGCAAATTTTCCATTGGTAATTTGACCCTGTATCAATTACCTCCTGCGGGGTAAGAAGATGGTTTTGGATCAACAAAATGGAGGTCAACGAACATGCGTGGATTCTGTTGGACCTTAAGAGTTTATACTGTATTAAGAGTGTGTATTAAGTGTTGAACCAATCGAAGCGATGCATTGCCATCAATAGTAGCGGCTTATCAGGGTAGGATCAGTAATTGGATTTTCCTTGTTTGTCTATTCTTTTCATGAGCGTATTATTGTAACTGTCAGTTTTAATAGAAAATTACTCAGCTGCTTTTAAAGCTCCCTTCCCCATCTTGGCCTCGCACGCTCACAGACTCTGTGGAAGACGGAGAGAAGCTCGTTCAAGCGGCGCTGGACGCCTTTGGAAGAATCGGTGAGTGAGTGCGAATCAATAGACCAGAAGTGGCAGGGGAACAAGTGGGGATCAATAACATTAGTCGTTGGCTAGCCTACTTTTTTTGATGGGTGAGTCCTTTCCTGGGTTGTGTTCGGTTCAGTCCGGGCAAACTCACTGGTGGTGGGATAGAGCCGTTGTTAATGTTTTTATTTACAACTCTGACAGCCCTCGCTTGTGTACCTACAAAATCTCATGTCGATTATATCTTGTTTTTCAGATATTGTCGTAAACAATGCCGGGTAAGTCATTTTATGGTGGAAAAACAGCTCTTTCATCACTGGCTCCGTTTACAACCCTTTACTCTCTGGAAGGATCCTTCGTGACCGCTCATTCGTCAGGACAAGCGATTTGGATTGGGGTAAGGTCACAAAATTTAATTCATCCACGGGGGGTGCTCGGTTTACAGCCGTCATTGATGCACCTTTCAGAAGCAACAGTAAAAAAAAAAAAAAAAAGAGTGAGCACATTCATGCAGAAGCTGATCTCAGCCACAGCTCACTCACACAGATTCGTTGATGTGACACCACCTGACCAGGCCTCGTCCTCAAGGCGCATATCTAACGCGCGTACATTACAAAACGTACAATGATTAAAAATTTTTTTGTGCTAGTAATTTGTTAAAATGCGTTTCAAAAGTGTCATAATACATTTGAAGTGTGTTTCATTAAGTTTAAATGTTTTTAAAGCATGTGGATGGGTTAAACTATATAAAAAAAAATGGTACATGGTCTATGTATTTTCACCTAATGCATATTGGTCTTTGAACAAATGGCAGTTCACTCTACCAGGTTTTCAGGTCAAGTACAGCCTGCAATAAACTAGAATACGCAATACATTGTTCCGTGAAGGCCGTCTCGGCTTAGAAGTGATTTTCATAAAAATATTTTCCGTATTTCTGACGTTACTACTGATTTAGTGTAGTTTAGTGGTAGATTACAGCACATTATGACTTGTGTAGAAAGTCGAGGTACATTGTCGCCATAGGAACAAAACTCCAGTGTAAACAAGAAAACCCCCCGGAAATCAGTCATGAAAAAAAAGTAGCCCAATACAGCTATTTGGGATTATATTTCACAATTTAACTAATGAATGGACAATTTAGCATTTCATTTTGCATGGTGGTAAATTGCTGCACACTTTTTCAGTTTGTATTTTAAGACCGTTTCAAATTGTTTCCAGACCTCATTCACAGAGTTCACCTGCGAGGCTCTTTTTTGGTGACCCGCGCCGCCTGGAACCACATGAAGAAGCAAATGTTTGGCAGGTAAGATATGCACACGTGTAGTGGTCCACAACCCCTCTCCTTACAGAGCACCGCGGTGCCAAGACAGACTCGAGCGAGTTTAGAGCCTCAGGTAGTAAAACAGAAATCGGTTGCTTGTTGCTCCTGAATGTGGTGTGCTCATTGCTCAGTTGGCTTCACGGTGTTACGAGAAAAAGGAATCTGCATAAAAGGCTCAGACAGCACATTAGATATGGATATGCAAATCAGAGCAGCAAAAAAATAAATAAATAAATAAAAAAGAAATGTGTTAATGTGGCTATGCGGCTTTTAGGGTTGACCTGAATAGTCCAGTGCTGATTCATGTGCCCCCCCCCCCCAAAAAAAAAAAAACCTCAAGGGGTCTTGAACAACAATTTTACGTTTTGGTATGGAGTCGAAGTTTTCTCTTTTCCCTAATGG